GGAAAATGTGGAAAATCCAAAAACTCAATAATGACTAGAATTACTGGTCAGATGAAATCTGGTGAGACTCCCAATACTATGGCCCTGAAATACATTCAGCACCTGGAATAAAACTCACCCCCAGGGGCGGGCTGTCAGCACAATAGTTAACAAGATGTACACGCAGATCACTCAACCCAGGATACTGCACCCACACACTCAGTAGTAATACATCCCTTAGAGCAATAAATAGACCATGGGACACCAGAGGATCAACATTCAAACTGAGGAAATGCAGGACAAACAGGAGTGCATAATTATGAGGGGCACAGGGGGAGGGTTGCAGGGTAGGGAGGGGAGGAGACTGGGTTAGGGTTGGAGATGGCGAATGGGGAATGAAACTAAATGTACGCATGACATTGAATGTAAAACAAGCTCTTAAAATAAAAATAAAAATAAAAAAAAGAAATAAAAGGATGTATTGCATTGGACAAATCTGTCGCAAAAGATCTCTTTAAAGTGTTAAAAGGCAAAGATGTCACTTTGAGGACTAAGGTGTGCCTTACCCAAACCATCATGTTTTCAGTTGCCTCATATGCACGTGAAAATTATTGGACAATAAGTAAGGAAGACTGAAGAAGAATTGATGTATTTAAATTGTGTTGGTGAAGAATATTGAATATACCATGACTGCCAGAAGAATGAACAAATCTGCCTTGGCAGAAGTGTAGGCAGAATGCTCCTTACAAGCAAGAATTGTGAGACTTTGTCTTACATACTTTGGACATGTTGTCAGGAGGGACCAGTCCCTGGAGAAGGACATCATGTTTGACAATGTAGAGGTCAGGTATAAAGGGGAAGACCCTCAATGAGATAGATTTACACAGTGGCTGCAATAATGGGCTCAAGTATAGCAACAATTATGAGGGTGGCACAGGATCAGGCTGTGTTTCATTCTGCCGTCACATGGAGTCATTATGAGTCGGAACTGACTTGTTGGCACCTAACAAACAACATTGGCAAATTGTTGATCTAAAACAATCATAATGACTATAATTCAAGCTTGTAAATTTTTCTCTGCACTTTAAAATGGAAAATATATAGTATTGCTTTTTGGTTATTCTAATATCAGAAGGAAGGTTGGGCAATCCTACTTCCATAGTGATACCGCCTCGGAAACCCAAGGAGGGGTCGCTATGAGTCGGGGCCGTCTCGACGGCACATAACAACAACAACAAAATATGAAATACAGTCAGTTAATAAACAGTATTTATGTTTTTGGTAATATCATTAATTCTGCTGGACTTTGTTATACTTACATATGTATGTGTATATATGTGTGTGAGGGTGTGTATGTGTGTGTATCCATATGTATGTATGTATATATGGCAGTTCTTAACTAGTTTAAATATTTTAGATCATATCTTGAATTTTTGCTATCATACATAGAGCTATTTTGGTTGAAAACTTCCAGTCAGGGAAACATAAATAAAGCTCAGTAGATTTATTTTGTTTAAAGTTACAATATATTTTAAGCTGTTTTGGTATCTAATAATGAAACTGATTAATGTTGCTCAACTCAAGTTATAAGAAACATAAGTTAATTACCCAAATATAGATATAATATTGGGATTAATTTCTTGTTTCTGTAAATATATACATATAATGGTAACATAATTTAGATTCAAGTCTCTAGTTTCAGGTTTCTGTTTTAATAGTTTAGTTGCCAGTGTATACTGAATATAATTATCAAAGATGTAAAAGAGAGAAATGTTATAAATCAGCTGAATTAAAAACTAGAAAAAATCTTCAACGGCTGCTAGAATTTATCGTAATTGCACAATATCCACTCTGGTTCTTGACTACTAAGTGATGATTTTAGAAGCATGAAATATTTTTCTATTGTAATAAAGGAAGTACAATTATTTCCAACAGAATGAATGGCAGAAATGGAGCTATTCTTGCTGATGAAATGGGTTTAGGGAAAACACTGCAATGCGTTTCACTCATCTGGACTCTACAGTGTCAAGGACCCTATGGAGGCAAGCCAGTAATAAAGAAGACACTTATAGTCACTCCTGGAAGCTTGGTGAATAATTGGAGGAAGGAATTTCAAAAATGGCTGGGAAGTGAAAGGATCAAGATATTTACTGTTGATCAAGTAAGAGAGATTTAAAAATTCAGTCTTAGTCATTTTATAAATCACAAGCTTTTCAAATCAGTACTGTAGTTTTCACTTTCTATAATGCAGTTTTTCAAGTAGTATAAAAACTTTCTCACTCCTTTGGGCAAAAAAGGAAGTTTTGGCTTCTGTTCTGGTTTTGAATTAACTTCATAAGTGCCTGTCAGGAATATGCTATTAAATTTGGTTTCACATAGTTTCTACCCATGATTTGTTAAAAATTATCTTTTTTTTTAAATTTTTTTAGGACCACAAAATAGAAGAATTCATCAAGTCTCCATTATATTCTGTTCTTATTATCAGTTATGAAATGTTACTTCGTTCCCTGGATCAAATTAAGAATATAAAATTTGATCTTCTAATCTGTGATGAAGGGCATCGTTTGAAGAACAGTGCCATTAAGACAACTACAGCCCTCATTAGCCTCTCTTGTGAGAAAAGAATAATTCTAACTGGTCAGTATTTATTTTCAGATATATGATGGAATTTTTGCCTAGTATATAAGACTTTTAATATGGCACTTGATATCAGTGTGGATTTTGTACTAATACACCTGTTAATTGAGTCTTGGTAGCATTCTGAACAACCCAGATTTTGAGGCTTTTGAGGAATAACCACAAGTAGTATAATGGTTAAGAATGTGGGCACTGGGGCTAGACTGCCTGTGCTTGTTTTTTAATTTTGACATTTACAATGATGCAGCTATGGGTACCTTATTCAATTGTGTCAGTTTCCTTACCTGTGAAATAATGACAATAGTACTGTCTACTTCATAGAGTTAGTTTGAGGGTCAGGGGAGTTAAACTGTGTAAAGTTATCGGAAAACTACCTGACACATAGTAAGTGTGTAATAAATGTCAGTTTTTTTTATATGTATGTGCTACAGGTCCCTGGTTTATTGCTGGTCTAGACCGCCTGGCATGGTGGGATAGACCACGTGTAATAAAGATCCTTTCCTACTCACTCCTTTTTAGCTTAAGACCTAGACTAGGGTCAGTCCTGAGTAGCTTAAAGTAGCCTTTTCCCCATGCTTCACCTTGGTATTGTTTGGCCATTTCAGTTTTCCAGGCGGCAGCAGAAGAGGGAAGAGAGTTGTATTCATTAGTAGTATTGACAACCCGTCCATTTTCTGCTCAAGGCTCTATTTCTTTACTACCTTTAATCCTTTTGGAAGAGATGTGAAAGACGTGATTATACTTTTTATTTCATGATTTCTTATGTCATTTTGTCCTTCATGTGCCCTTTGTTCATGCCAAGGCCCTTCTCTCAGACTAAATGAAGAAGTGAGAGAAGGTGTATGACTAACACCTTGTTCAACTTTTGTACATCCTTATTGTTGTTATTATGTGCCGTCAAGTTGGACCCGACTCATAGGGACCCCTCCTTGGGTTTTCGAGGCAGTATCACTACGGAAGTAGATTGCCCAACCTTCCTTCTGAGGAGTGGCTTTGTACATCCTTACGTAGGAATAAACTCCAGAGCCACTGAGAAGAGAATCTCCCCCTATTCTGCTCCTCCTGAGGGTACTCATCTTTAAGCAGTTCGTAGTAATTTGATTTCCAATTTGTGTAGGAGGATTGTATTAATCATTACCAAAAAGTGATTTTTAAAATTGTATATGTCTTTTAAACATGACTTTGAGAAATATGAAATGATCTTTTTAGACTTCAAATTGACTTACTTAAATATAATAAAGATAAGAGGGCAAAGGTTAAGTCTCATAATTATTTATTTATATTCCAAGATTTCCAAATTATTTATACCCTTAAGCAAACATTTGTTGGTAATGTTGTTATTGTTGTTAGGTGCCGTCAAGTTGTCTCCGACTCATAGTGACCCTGTGCACAGCAGAACGAAACACTGCCTGGTCCTGTGCCAGCCCCATGATCCTTGCAATACTTGAGCCCATTGTTGCAGCCACTGTGTCTATCCATCTCGTTGAGGGCCTTTCCCCTTTGCACTGACTCTCTGCTTTACCAAGAATGACATCTTTCTTCAGAGAATGATCCCTTCTGACAACATGACCAAAGTAGGTGAGACGAAATCTGGCTGTTCTCACTTCCAAGGAG